AAACTCCCTGGAAAAGACTCTGATGTTGGGAAAGTGTGAAGGCAAGAGGAGAAGGGGACAACAGAGGACGAGATAGTTGGACAATGTCATCAAAGCTACCAACATGAATTTGACCCAACTCCGGGAGGCAGTGGAAGACAGGAGGGCCTGGCGTGCTCTGGTCCATGGGGTCATGAAGAGTCGAACACAACTTCATGACTAAACAACAAAAGTATTATTGTTGTTGCTTTTGCTGCCTGATTGGAAATTTCAAAGCCTTGCAAAATTAATTGTGTTTGCAAAACAAATTTAAATGATGGCCCCAAGCGAGTGGTACAGCTGCAACAATGAGTATCATACAACCTGCTCCTCCACCTCCACCTGTATTTTCTGTTGTCTCTGTGTGATTTCCTGGGTTTTCTCCATGCTTAGGTGCTGATTTGTTCTCTGCTTCCCCTTCAGTTCCTATAATGAACTCAGGTCTGGAATACAGAAGGCTGTCTTCCAAATTGTCTGTTGGTTCCTTTAGAGTAAAAGAGAAATGGACAATAAGGAGCCAAGGCATTTTCCTGACATCTGCATATACGTGTTCTTAGATCAAACATATATTATGAGGGGATCTGGGTCAGGTCAATAGACTGTAGGCTTTGGATGGTGACACAGCTGGGCCAAGGCATTTATTTACAAGTTATACCTTGTTTCCCCTAAAATAAGACCTAACCTGAAAATAAGCCCTAGTATGATTTTTCTGGATGCTCATAATATAAGCCCTACCCCCCAAAATAAGCCCTAGTTAAGTGAAACCCTGCCCTCCACCATTGTGCAGCCACCAGAATAAGATGACATGACTGTATCTGCATAAATATAGATTGTTGTACATGAAACAAAATAAAACATCCCCTGAAAATAAGCTCTAATGCATTTTTGGAGCAAAAATTAATATACGACCCTGTCCTATTTGGGGGGAAACACGGTACAGTGGTGCCCCGCATAGCGATGTTAATCCGTTCCAGGATTAATGTCGCTATCCAGATTCGTCACTATGCGGGGGGGGGAACCCATCCGTTTAATGCGTTCCTATTGGGGAAAAACTCACCGCTAAGTGGGAATCCTCCATAGGGCCGCCATTTTCGCTGCCTCGGTAAGCGAGGAATCGGTGCAAAAACACTGTGGGCAGCCATTTTGTTGATCCGGCAGCCATTTTGGAACCACCGATCAGCTGTTTTCTAAACATCGCAATGCGAAGATCGGTAAGTGAAACGCTTACCGATCATCGCAATGCGATGTTTTGCCACCTAAAACATCGCGATGCGATTGCATGAGCTATCGCAAAAAACGCGTCGCTATGAGGATTTGTTAAGCGAGGCACCACTGTACTTACAAATCTGGCTTTTCCCTAAGACACTCAAAGCTGCAAATAGGATTCTCTTCCTCCCCACTTCATCCTCACAACCACTCAGTGAGGTACTTTAGTCAGAGAATGAATGGCTGACCCCAGAATGAGTGACTGACCACAAGGCAACCAGTGATTTTTGTGGTTTAGAAAGACTACAGCTTGTCCCACACTTTAACCATTACACCATACTGCCTCCCAACAACACTGGTTGTGGTTACTACTGCCAGGTTTGTATCAAAGTTTATAACTCATAGCAGATGTACTAGATTTATGATCAATGATCAATATCTGTATATCAATATTCTGTTCCTCTTTCCAGTCAATACTGTCCTCAAGTATCGAAAAACTAGCCATGAATTGCAGAGTTTCCAAGGGCTGCTTCAAAAACCACATGGCAGAATTTTGCATGGGCGCATATGGCATGGCATCACACAGCCCACTGTCTGGATGAAGCATAATGTGCATTCACACATTTTGCAACTAATGTATATTAATAGGTACATAGTAATTTTTATGTTCTGTGCAGGAGCTCTTAATTCTGCAATAAATATAAATGATAATGTTGTTTGGGTGGTACATTCTGGGCTTTTTGTGTTGAGTAATAACTTTGTGCTCCATAAGAGCTGTGCTGTGTTAGGCAAAAGGCTCTTTACTCCTGTATTTAGTTTGCACAATAGTCAGCTACATGCTGATGGGAAAACCCGGAAGCAAGACATGAGTGCAATAGTGCCTTATTGTTGGTGTTTTCAGCAGAACCTAGAAACCTTTTTTTTTTTTTTTGCCTTATCATACCCAGAATTCCTCAACCAGTGGAGTTGAAAAAAGTCATGCTTCATGTCCACAACAATGACCAAACAATGATATATTGCCTCTGACAGTAGAGGCCTTTGATAGTCCTGCCTTCTGTGAACTGTGATTTCGCTGTTTGGTCATTGTTGTGGACAATGGAAGGATGACTTTTAAAGTCACCAAAACTTGCAGTAGTAAATATAGTTTAATTGTGGTAAAAATGGCACATTTTTTGCCCATTCTGAATCTCCTACCATTTTGCTTTACTGGATGACCCAGAGTTCTAATAACGAGAGAGAGAGCGAGACAGAGAGAGAGAGAGAGGAGGTCTTCCTCCTCTCCACTTTCTGTATGCCATACATAACTGTCCACAGCCAGTTTGTTACCAGAGCAGCAGGCGCCACCTCAGAACCACCTCAGCCTTTATTATATCTTGCCTTGCCCCCATTTTTGTCCTAAATTAAAGAACATTAAATACAGCTGATGCTTACCACAAGCCTGATTTCTTCTTTGGGAGCCAGCCTCTCCAACAGCTCACAAGCCAACTGGTAGCACAAGATACTCGACTGACACAAATTACATTCAACGGCTTTCTCGTCTTTTTGGCAGGTGTGGGAACCACCCCAGGGGGCCTGGAACACATTGCTGATGATCGAAATGATGTCTTTGGAGATGCTGTTCTCTAAACCTAAGGTAATGCCATCATCTTGCAGTTCCATCTGAAACACAGATTTCGAGACGGGCAGTTAAGAAGGCAGTCAATACATGAACTGTGAACATAGGATCAATTCAATAGGTACGTCAAGATTTTCTTTTTTAAGGGATAGAACCACCACGGTCTAGATGCGTGAGTGTGGAATCAGGAGTGATGCATTCTTGAACAGAGATATCTGATGCCTGTTTGTGCAAGCAGCTTCATCTGGGACTATGAAGACTGCAATACCAACAGCCGCTGAGCAATAGCATGACGATAATTAGGGTTGTGTGGCAAAATTATAGCAAACAGACTTTTGCTTTTGTGATCACAACAAAATCAGGCAGTTGCAGTGCATATCGTCCCACCTTGTGTGGCACGCTATCTTGCAGCACCTGTATCTCTGGGTTTGGCTCTTGTTAAAAGTGTTGTCTACCATCCTTACTAGTGTGTTCTCTTAAAACTTCCATGACATATTTCTCCCAGTTAAACGACAGGTAGCAGGAGAAGACACATTCCCTGATCTTCTGCAGCACTGAGAAATTCAAAACACGTACATGTATGTCCTTCACCTTGTTAGCTGGCCACCCTAGGCATTGTGAGAAAAGCAGACATGCATGCAGCATAAATGATGACACTTTTAAGCTTCACTTTGAAATACCAGAATTCTATTTTTTGTCACCTGCTTCAAGATGAGATCAAACATCAGGATGAAGCAATTCAAGTTCATTTCATCATCATCACAGTCGAAATCAATGGCCCTTCCTCCTCCTCCTCCTCCTGGATGACTAAAGTTCTTAAAAGGGCTACGAAAAGGGCTGCGCATTGGGCTGCGAAACGGACTTTGAAATGGACTTGGGAATGGACTTAGTGTATTATGCTGCATTCTGCGTCCTGGATCAGAGGCAATGCTCACCTAGCAAAGCAAGAGCAATTAAAAACAGACACACACATACAATCAGTATTAGCATGAGCTGGGAGAACCTAGACCGTGTTTCCCCCAAAACAAGACAGGGTCTTATATTAATTTATTAATTTTTGCTCCAAAAAACCTCATTAGGGCTTATTTTCAGGAGTTTTTTTTTCATGTACAACAATCTACATGTATTCAAATACAGTCATGTCATCTTCTAGTTGCTGCACAAGGGTGGAGGGCAGGGTTTCATTTAACTGGGGCTTATTTTTGGGGTAGGGCTTATATTACGAGCATCCAGAAAAATCATACTAGGGCTTATTTTCAGGTTAGGTCTTATTTTTGGGGAGACTGGGTAATATACTAATACTCATGTGTTATCAAGTCAATTCTGACCCATAGCGATCCTTTTAGAGCAGATTCCAGATAGGCAGGAGGGACAGTGGAAAATTGAACTCTGGCTCCATAGCTAGGTATCTAAACCACTGTGCTATACAGCCAACTTATAGGCTAATTACAATAATACAAACATGTTAAAGGGCAACCACTTAGACAATCAGGCAAAATCCAAAGAAACAAAACATGACAAGACAAAAACATGTGGCACCTTAAAGACTAACTATTATATTTTAATGTGAGCTCTTGTGGACACGTCTGCTTTGCCAGACATACAAAAACAGAATGAAACGTTGAATGAAATATCAGTTTCATACTAAATATTCATTGGCTCTTGGATCTATGTTATATTTACAAGCAGTAATTTATGGCTGATGTTGTTTTTGGGCTCTGTTGTAGAAACTCCTCAGGAGACATAAAACAGACACCAAGCCTGGGCAAAAATGATGGAGGGAAAGAGAAGAGACAGGAGGGGTGTGCGAGGACGTTGAAGATTGGGGATTTACTTAAAACTCAGTTTTCAAAAGAAATCTACTTTGCTGCTGTGCTGTGTCTTTAAAAGCAAGCTTTGTGGAAAACACAGCAGCTGTAGCTTTTCACAGATGCAAATAAAAATTGCTTTTAAGGCAGGAGAATGTCGTTGTGTTCTTTTTAAAGGCAAAGCTATTTTGAAGTTATTTTCCAGATATTCTACTTAATCATATCTACCACTTAGTTCCGATATTTCCACTTAAAGCTGATAAAATGTTTTAAAACTTCAGAATTTCACAGGCCCACAGCTCAGAAAAGTATGATGTCACCAAGAAGTAGATTCAGAGCTTTGAAAAGGTACATTTTGGACTACAAGAATCCCCCAGCCAACACGGATACTAGTTTTTGGATAGGGGATTCTGAATGTTGTTGTTGTTCAAAAACTCCAGTTTTAACCAAGAACCTAAGAATCTATTAAATATTGACGCAGTATGTATGCTGTTCCTAATATTGCTGTTTTTTGTAGCTCTGATGATGATGATGATGATTTTGAAAGCTCTGGTCAAACCTGTTGGGACAGTAGTCAACAGGAGGAGCAAGAAATCAGATCAAGATCCCACCGAGAAGCTACTCTTTGAATATGTTTAAAATGCAACCTTTTGATGCTTATCAAATTCCCTGTGAAGACTGGGTCCTCTTCACCAGCATTGTGAATAGGCTGGTCTTGATCCTAAACAGACTACAGTGGGGTCTTGACTTGAGAACTTAATCCGTATTGGAAGGCGGTTCTCAAGTCAAAAAGTCTGTAAGTCAAGTCTCCATTGACCTACAGTGCATTGAAAACCGATTAATCCCATAACAGGCTGTTTTTGTTCCATTTTGGTTTTTTTCTGGTCTGTAAGTCAAATCTCAGTCTGCAAGTCAAACCTAAATTTTGCGGCCAGAGAAGTCTGTAACTCAAAAAGTCTGTAAGTCAAGCCGTCTGTAAGTCAAGGGTCCACTGTACTTGGAACTAAGCCTTCCCTGTATCATAAGAGCTTATTTTCCGTAAAATAAGAATATCGGGAATATAACTTCAAAAGGAAGTTTGTCTAGACTTAAAACACTTAACTGTGTGTAAAGTCATGTCACTGCAGTTTCATTAGAACATCTTTGAGTTCCACTTCGTGCCACTCTCCAATCATCAAGGAAAGTGATAATGAAATTACCCTTCGGGCTGCAAGATTCCCAGTCAACTCACTGACTCTTGACTTCCTCTGATTCGCCAGCTCTTTCACAGAATTAACACCATCTGAAAACATACTGATTAGCAATTGAAGAGGAACCACAATATCTAATTCAGATAACACCTGAAAGAGAGAGGTGGATGGGAAGACATCAAAAGAGATTTTTAAAAAATCAACGCATTTTCTATATTTTACAGACTGGGCCAAAATAAACAGTGAATGTAAACACAACACATAGCCTACATATGTACATTCTCTTACAATTTTCACAGAAATGCAGTGCCAATATTACCATATTTTTGGTGACGTGACACCTTTTCCTAAAATTATTAGAGGAAATTGGGGGTCATTTTATACACGGAAGGAGGCGGAGGTGAAGGAGCCAGTGCTGGGGCTCACCTCCAGCTCACATCGCTGCCTTGTCTCCTGCCCAAAGGGAGCCCGCGAGTGGCACTGGAGGAGTGATCTGGCGGCGGCGGTAGCAGTCAATGGGCAACCACGAGAAGCGGAGTTGGAGGCAGCGGTGCTCGGCCCCCTCTCGCAACTGCCCATTGACTGCTGCCCCCACCTCCAGATCGCCTCCATCCAGTGCCACTCATGGGCTCCCTTTGGGCAGGGGACAAGGAGGTAATGTGAGCTGGAGGTGAGCCCCAGCAGTGCCACTGGAGGAGGCGACTGGGTGGTGGCAGCAGCAACAGAAGGAGGCAGAGGCACAGCCACTCTGGGCCACCCCTCGTGGCTGTCCATTGACTGTTTCTCCGTCTCCAGAAAGGGTCAAAAATGGGGGTCATCTTATACTTTGGGGGGTTGTATATACGGAAAAATATGGTATCTGAAAAAAAAACCTGAAATTCAGTGCTGGAATGCATTGTATGTTAGAACAGAGCAGCAAGATACATGAAAGTTGATCTGAATTAGGGGTGCAATCAGCAAGCCCTTGGTGTATTTTTGCCTCTTGCCATTTCTAGCTCTCCACATACAGTGGTGCCTCGCAAGACAAATGCCTCGCAGGACAAAAAAACTCACAAGACAAATGGTTTTGGCAATGGGGTTGATGACTCGCAAGACAAATGTTCCTATGGCCATGCTTCACAAGACAAATGTTTTCCACTTTTTTTGTTCCTGTCTCATGTTTGCTGCTTTTTAAATGTTTTTCCATGATGTTTAAAAAGTTAAAAGTTTTTTTTTATTGAAATGTTTGAAATTATCTGCACAATATGTATGGCTTTAAAGAGCACTTAATAAACCCTTTGTAAACCAAATTTGACTTTGTTCTGACTTTTTTTGCCCATAGGAACGCATTAATTAGATTTCAATGCATTCCTATGGGAAAACGCATTTCGCAAGATGAATTTTTCGCAAGACAACATTAACCGCAGAACAAATTAAATTCATCTTGCGAGACACCACTGTAAATTGGTATTTTTAGATTTCCTCCCTCCTTTGCTCTCTGAAGGCACTTCTTACTTCTTCCTTGCTAGAGAAAGGTAAATCCACCAGCTTTTCCATAATGTCTGAGCAGCCCTATATACACAGAAGCCAACCTTTGGGGCTTCTGTCACCAACTTCAGAGCTCTTTCACCTGTACTATCCCTGAAAGGATTTCACAAAATAGTAAACACACATTTTCTACTTTCCGCCAGTTATCAGTTGCTATTTAACAGTTATAAATTTGCCAGTAACCCAACATTCTCTACTACAACAAATACCAATGATGATTTGCTCACAGATGCACATTTATACTCACATGGAGCCAGAGTAATGCTTGTTCTTGTACAGATGAAGGGTAACCTGTGAACCGACAGCTGATGAAACCAAACATCTCCTCCATGGAAAAAGGGAGTGGGCACAGCTCAATATCAAACATTTTGCTGAAATGGGTGAAGACAAGACTTAAATCAGCAACTCCTTTTCATGCGTGTCACAAAAGGGAGAAAGTTGTGCATGGTAATCACAGAAAATATCACAGTGAAACATTTTGCATCAGTAGCTGGCATGTCATTTGAAGAGTGGCATTCTGAGCTTAAAAGAAAAGGCATGGTCTGTGCAATAAAAGTTATAAATTTGGACTGGTAATCCAAATTATGTGTCTCAACAAGCTGAACCTTTGGTCTAGATGGGTGGGATAGAAATCCAATAAATAAATAAATAAACCTTAAGCCTTTTGTGAATTATAAAAATTGACAAAATATCTTCATAAAATATTGCATACAAATCCTCATGATTATTTCAGCTCTATTTTGTAAGTAATACCTTGTTTCATCAGATGGGTGGAGTGAACTGTGAGGGACTGGATATAAAAACTGGGCTGATGAAATTTCTGCACAATATAACTAAAATCCAATGGGACACATTACAGAAGAACAACTATACTGTCAATTCTCGTGAAAACAACAAAGAGACTCCTGGCATCTTAAATATATGTATAATATTGAATCACAGCCAATAACGATGCTGGATATAGATGTATAAATAGATAACTGAAGTTACAGAACTGAAATGAATTGTAAATCCCAATTAAGAGTACACTCATTCCTAATGATTCAGTGAATCTACTCTGTTGCTGTTATGTGCCGTCAAATTTAAGGATTGGCTTTATCAGTTCCACCGCTCCAGTAAGCTTCCATGTAAAGGTATTTTGGAGGCCATCTTGCTAAAATCTTCTGCTCAGTGTGGTAATCTTGCAATTAGACCATCTGAGACAGATGGCCATATATGTGCTGCCTAAACCAGTGGTTCTTAACCTTTGTTACTCGGATGCTTTTGAACTGCAACTCCCAGAAACCCCAGTCAGCACAGCTGGTGGTGAAGGCTTCTGGGAGTTGCGGTCCAAAACTCCTGAGTAACTGAAGGTTAAGAACCAGTGGCCTAAACAACTCAAATAGTGGGGAATGTTCCAGCTCGAAAGGCAGTAGGTTCCACCATCAAAGTGCACACCATTAGGGATTCTGGTTTTCCCCAATTTCAGCCAGAATCTGTTCTCTTGCGAAGTTCATGCACTGGTTCTACACCTGCACTTATGCTGTGTTCTTGGTTTTGAGCCTCTCTTCTGCAGCTACATTTAGTATATCTCTTCCACCTTGAGATAACCGATGACCCCTCTCACCTAATCTTCTCTGCTCTAGACTAAATATATCCAGCTTTTTCAACCATTCTTCATGCACATGCACAACTGCATAAAAACATGTTGTTTAAAAAAATCACACTTTAATGTATTTGGGAGTCTTTAAGGTGCAAAGAACACTTTAAGGACTTTTAAAGATTGTTGTATGTTTATTAGATCTTCTGGGCAAAGAAGCAAAAACTGTGGCCAGCAAAAGGCACACAAAGCACAATAAAACATGCTAGCTTGAGCAAATGGGTCCAGAATGTTGAGTCCCCTATTTCTTGATCTTATACTTCATTTGTAAGACATTTTGAGATAGTGGGGAATCAAATAAAGTTCAATTAAATATATGCCTTGCAGCCACATCTCCTTTCTAAACAGCACAGCAAGGCTACATGGACTAGGAAGATTCTTAAAAACAGGCATCAAGTAGGTGTGATACACTCAGTATTGTCTGCAAATCCCATCAGCCCCATCTAGCATTCCTAATAGTGAAGAATGCTTGGAATTGTACTTTAATAGCATCTGGAGAACCACACTTTTCTAATTCTAAAACATAACCAGTAGCACTTATGCTGCCTACTTCTACTCCAGAGCTAAACCAAATTTCATTTTTTTCAGAACAAAAGTCCCATAATCGTTGAGGACATCCCAACTCCATTAAGGGTATAGGAATTCTTCTTCCTCCAGAGTAAGCCTATGTTCTTATTGAGAAAACAAAGTACCTATTCACCCATAGTCAAAACTCTACCCCACTTTGCAGTATTTCAATTCCAACTGTGAAGTTTCCACTTTAAAGATGGGGTATTCGTATACGAATACAAATATCCCCCCACAGGTGAAGATAACGAGGTCCAATGGTCCACTCACGATTGCACCACTGCTGCGACTGCCACTGAGCCTTCCAACAGCTCCGGAGATTGCGTTTGGCTCACCACTCTTGGCAGGAGGTGGGACGACAAGCCTCTCTGCTAGGCTGAAGAGTGTCTCGCTGAATGCGATCTCCGGAGCCATTGGAAGGCTCCACGGCAGTCGCAGCAGTGGCACAGTCATGAGCAGTCGTTATCTCAACCTGTGGGGGAATATTCATATTCATATACGAATACCCCATCTCTAGTCTCCTTTTCCTAACATTCAATTCATGCAAACTACAGAGAAAATACCAACTGCTCTTACTAATCTCTGCAGCATAATAGACACATGCACACACCCCTCTCCAAAACATGAAATGCTCCCATGCATCCTTACCTACCTTAATACTTCCCTGAACTCCTTCAGTTGATTATCTGGGACTTCAGTCCTGATGGCTTCCAGCCACTCTGGCATAATACAGTCCCACACAGACTGGTTTATCACATTGTATGGAATCAAGCACAGGATCCGATTCAGGCCTTCCTTTAACTGTGTGACGGTGCTACAGGATTTGTCCCAGTATCCACCCACCTGAGGACATTTCCAGGAAAAGATGCCATGAATGACTCATTTGTTCAAAACAACCTCAAGTACACATAACACCATGCAGTTCTTCAGTACTGCTTGCACTGACAACTATGCCATTTTCTCCTCTGATATCTTAAGAACAACCTTTTCAAAATAAGAATTTCAAGCCAATATACAAGTTAGAACACAGCAGTGGCCATGTTGGGTTTGACCAAAGGCCTATCTAGACCAGCATCCAGTCAGCTGCCCTCAGGAAACCCACAAAAATGACATTAGCACAAAGCCCTCTCATGTTCTTCTTCCCTAACAAGTCACATAGAGAACCATGCAACTTCTGGAGCTGGAGGAAATATACGGTATATCCATTGCCAGCCCCACTTGCCATGAATTTGTCTAGCCACCTTTTAAAGCTGTCCAGAAGGCCTGAGTCGGGGTATCCAATCCCACAGTTTAATAATGCACTCTTTCAAGAAGTACTGCATTTTATTTCTTTAGATGTTTTCTTTTAAATAATAAAAATTCTAGGCACACTGGAATATGCAACAGAGAGCTTGAGAGTCGTAAGAGGCCCACAGGCTATGTTGCTGCTCTGGACCATGCATAATTTTACTTCTCCCCTATCTCTCATGATCTGATTGCCGCATTGCCATCTTTCCTCAGAAGGAATGTGCTCCAGCATCTTAATAATTTAGATTCTCTTTTTTCCCCTTCCCCTTATTGTAAACCTTTTCCAGGTTTACAATATTCTTCTTCGTGTTCAGATACTCACCAGAACTGTGCATAGTTTTCCATGTGTATTTTTGCTTTTATTTAAGCATTGTATACTATGGACCATTTTATGTCCCATTGCATTCCGAACTACACTTTCGGAAGTGCCCAGTATTGTGGACCCTAGTATTTTAGATAGGATTGGTACATATTAAAGCATTGGTGGAAGAAATTCCTACCCTTGCAAACTCCATTGGCTTAGGAAGTAGACACATCACCATGACATCAAACCGAACATCACACACTGTCTTCAGCCACTTGGTGACAAATTGGGGTTTGAGTTTCTCCACAAGGCTCCCCACTTCATCATCCATCATGTATGCAGTGGAGTGGAACCACTGGAAGACCATGCTGACAAGCCGTGCTAAACTCTCTGTGGGGGTGTTCTCACTAGGAGTACAGAGGCTTACCTGGAAGAGAGATTTGTTCCAGATAAATTCTTATGCATTCTTATAAGCTGGGGTGGGGAAAGTGTGGTTCCCCCATGGCTGTATATGGTCATCCATGACTTTCCAACACTCCCAATCTAGTGGGGTATTGCTGAACACAAGCAGTTCAAGTTAAATTTTTAGTTGCAGCCTTACATCCTGTCTGTTGTCTGTGTGACTGGGAGGGACTTTTCTGGGCTGGGGTGGCTGTCCGTCTGCCTAGCACTAACCAATCATTCCTTCCAGCCTTTGAACTCAAAGAGAGTCCCACCTCTTTGCTGAGTGTTCTTTTCCCTCAGTTTCCTATACTTATATTTCATTGTACTTATGCTCCTATATTTTTTACTGTGATTTGTTCCTGTATTTTGGATTTGGATATGACTTGAGTTTTGCCTAACACTTAAGCTCAGTTTTGTTCATAGCTGTAAGAATGGCTTTTAAAGTAATGTACTTGTGACTTCTCAAAAGTTACATGTTTTTAATAACTCTTGGATTTTTGAATATAGAAGCAATGTAGAAACATAAAACTTGCAAAAATTAGACAAGCTGAAGTTGCCTGGCATTGTTGCAACAATAGAAAGACATATAATTAGATACCCAGATGAACTTAGAAATGCTTGTCAATGCTTGTCTGATTTCATTCTGGGATTAACCCTTTACTGGGATAAATGGCAGCTATGATAAACATAATTTATTTTATTTTACTAGATTTATATACTGCCCATTTAGAATGTGTCTACTCTAAGCTTCTGTTGTTTGCTCAGGAGATCTATATATCTCCATAGGACTCTTGGGGGAGTCAGGCATCCTCTTAAGGATCTGACAGTGAGGCTTGCATGTGCCCCCACCACCCATTTATTCTCATATGGATTCAAACTTGTGGTGTTTTGTGCAGGACCAGCAGCACAGTTACCAAACTTACATTTAACACTGTGCATCACCCAGACAGTTGAGCTTGGAAAACAATTACTGAACTAAAAGTCCTAGTGATCATGTTGGCTAGGGGATTCTGGGTACTATAGTCTGAAAAGGCAACTTCCCCAAGCTCTGCCACAAAATTTGACTGGCAGTATTACATGAAAGAAACAACAAATATATTCCTCACAGCAGTTCAGTATATTATATTCCAAAATGGTGAACCAAGTTTTGCTCTTAAACCCTGCATATTTTAACTTGTGAACAACCAGAGACAAAACAGCCAAAGCAACGTGTGTTGCTTCTATACCACCCCCATCGCACTTAAAGCACTCCCTGGGCAGTTTACAATTTAATTATGCAGGCTACACATTGCCCCTGCCCACAAACAAACTGGGTATTCAATTTACCAACCTTAGAAGGATGGAAGGCTGAGTGAACCTATCAATAAATTCTGATAAACAACATATAGCTTCACAGAGCCTCATTCTATCTGTCCTGAGATCTTTAGTCATCAACTGATCATTTGTAGACCAATGTAGGCATCCTTCAGTCTTGAGAGACTATGGTAATGTGTTCTGAATAGAGGTCTTGGAACAGCATCTAGTGTGGCCGAGAAGGCCAATTCGAGAGTGACAATCCCTTCCACACTGAAGATAAATATAATCTGTCTCCTGTTCAGCTCCCTGATTTTGCTGCTTTTAGGACTGCCCCTTTGCCTCGCCCTGCTGAATAAGTGTTTCTTCAAATTGGCAGAGGCCATGCTGTACCACCTGCCTCCAGGCTGAACACTCAGATGTCAAGGTTTCCTATCTGTTGAGGTCCATTCCTAAGGCCTTCATTTGTAGACCGCATTCGTATCGGTGATCATCACCAGCCCTAGTTTCTACACACTCATTTTTTTTAAACTACTGACAACCATTAGGTTCTGCAGGTTTTCTAATGTTTCCTGAACCTTCAGGACCTCTTTGACATTAGAGTCTCTGAAATATTACTACCTCAGCACAGTCAAAATCTGTTTCACTGCTGCTTCTCTAAATCTACAAGACTCACAAGAAAATTAGATTGGATTCTCAAGAGATTCGCATCACAAGGAAATCAAAGAGAAAAATGGGAAGAGCAAAATTAAACTTACCAAGAACCAGATTCCAAATTGACTCAGAAGACGCTGGTCATGCTTGTCATCATCTTTGTTATCAAAGTCTGTGTTATCCAGAGAGTGATGTGACGAGGACAAACCCAACTGCCTCCTACGGTTGAGTTCATACTCTCTTTGTTCAGCATGGAATTCAGCCTCTTTCAACAAGCTAAGAAAAAAGGGAAGGTGTGCCTTTAAACAGACGTCAAATGGAGAACCAAGAAATGTGCCTCCCACTTATATTTTGGTTCCTTGACTGTGTTCTTTGTATCTGTATATAAGACACAAAAGCTTGACCCTTCTGTTTTTATCCATAGAGTATTTGGGGAAGGCAAATATTTAATACAGTACCAGAGAAAGAAAGTAAATGGAATGGAGAAGCAGCTGCTTCAGCTCTGATACTCATCTGGTTTATGTTCATGTATTCATTATTCTTTGAATAGTGCAAAATACTGAAGAGTCCATTCATACTAGACCAAGTACTGGTCTCACTCTTGGCTGGAGGTAAAGAATCTTGTGAGGCCTTAAAATTCTTGACTGAGGTGTCTGTCTCATCAGGTTAACAGCCTAACTGATGTGAATAAAGACCTCACTAAATATTCATTCCATCTCATACATATGCCGTGTTAGCTACAGATTCAGGGACTTGTTTTCCAAGCTCAAGGGCATATCCACATTGTGAGTGTGCATGCCTATGTACAAGCATATGCATGTATTTTCCAGCACTGCCGTGTTAGCTACAGATTCAGGGACTTGTAGTCCAAAATGTTTTCCAAGCTCAAGGGCATTGTGAGTGTGCATGCCTATGTACAAACAAGCATATGCATGTATTTTCCAGCACCAATTTACAATAAATCCTACATGGTCAGGGGAAAATTCATAAGGCTTTGTTGAACTTCATCACATAATTGCAATCTGTTCTCCTGGCCTTGTCCTCTGACATCCAGGTAGGTAGCACACAAATTTCCCAATCACAGGGGAGCTTACAGGTGATCCCACACAACTGTTTAAAGAGTAGGGCCATTGGAGATGAGGAAGCAGCCACTGGTAATGAGAAAGCACAACAGGGCAACTCCTGCTGTGTAGTTACTCATAGTGAAGGAGAAATAGGGTAACTCAGTGGCAAATTACCACTAATTAACAAGTCCCCCTTTGAATTCCTCATTGCATGTTGGCTGGGAGGCTTCGATAATTCAAACAGGGACTCATTAATTAGTGGCAATTTGCTACTGCAAAGCTACTCCAGTTCCCTTCTGATAGCATAACTATGCAACAGGATTTTGCCCTTATATTTCACAACAAAACAGAATTACACAGCAGTGTTTCCCTATGTTACATAAATTTAAAATCCTATAATATACAATAGTGATTTTTTTTTGTAAAGGGGGGATGGGAATGGATATGCCAGTTTTTCCTCAGCATAAAATGGCTCGGACAGAATGCATTTTCCACCTCCTGTGCGCAATAGTCCTAACCCAAGGAGTTTTCAAATCATATAATTTTCACACAGCGGCCTGGCTCACTCATTTTGGAAAGGAGTCAGTAAAAATAACAACATTAACTAAAACAACCAAGTTGTCGGAAGAGATGAAAATGGAATGGAATGGAGTTAATGGGATTAACTGATGGGAATAAGAACAAATTATTGTATTATTGCAATATTGCTTTTCTTTCTAAACTTATTCCTCTTTTATCAAATGTATCTGAATAAAATGTGCTTGTACCAGTGATGAGCTCTAATACTTTAACATAATTTTAATGCACAAACTTAGCATGAGGATATGTTGTACCACCAGAGGTTACTGGATTTTGTAGTCTAAGAAGAGCTGGAGACCCCAACATCTTGCATCTGCTCACTTATATGACAAGGAGCGGTCCAGCTGGCTGTATAAAAGGAAATTTGCTCTGTTTGTTTATTTGCCTAGTGAAAATTACCTGATGACAGCTTCAACAGTACACACTAGCTCCTCGGCACCACACTCACGAGTATTGATCGGAGGTGGTGATGTCTGGTAGAGATGAGTCTCAGCCGTTGCTCCAACTTCACTGCTATGATGGTTTGAGTGGCATCGTTTGCAGTAGCGCACTGGCCTGTTCCCATGGCGACCACAGCAGCCAGCAGAGAAACATGTGACCACAGCCCTTCTAACATGTGAGCTGCAGTTCTGCAAGGAAACAAAATAGATGTAATAAAGCCACTGATAGGAACTGAAAGCAAATAATCCAAGAACTGCCATCCAAACAATTGACAAATCATTTACTTGGACAAGTGAGAAGGCTGGAAAGAGTAAAAAGGGTGTGGAAGCAGAGTTCAGATAGAAGCCTAGTGGGGAAATTTGTGGCCTTCCAGATGTTGTCAGACGACAACTCCAATCATCTCTGGACAGTGGCTGTGCATGATGAAGGCTAGAGTCCAACAACATCTGTACAGCCACCAGTTGCCCTGTCTTGGCCTACAAGAAACTGAGTAATTGCTTGGCAGTTTGAATATTAGAAGTCAACCTTCAATATTTGGATTTGCTGCTGCATTCTGGTTGTGCACTGCTAGTGAGGGAAAATATTTTGTGAGAGACTGGTAGATCTCTGGGTGATTTGTCTTAGATCAGCAAAGGCTGCTCACTTCCAATACTTTCACAAGAGCAAATAAAACTGCTGGCAATAAGTTCTGGCATGACTGAATAGGCGTGCTATTGTTTTCTTTCTCTTGGCCACAATGTTCTCAGTCAATAAAATATAAGCAGGATAAAGTTACCTTGCCTGGCCGGCATAACATATTGGCTAGAGAATTCTGGAAACTGCTATCCAAAAACATTTGCTGGCTTTTAATATGGGTATGAATCAGCTGCTTATGACTAGGTAATTTGGTTAAAATCTTTGAGTAACTAACACATACTTGGACTCCTATACGAAACTTGTCCCAGTAGGTAATGCATGGGGCATAATGGTAATTGCACACGGATACCCAGTGCAATGTAGTGAATAGAGTAAGAGACTTAGAAGGCTTAGGTTCGAATCTGCACTCAGCCATGGAAGCTCACTAAAGTTATGGAGGTCATAAAGGTAAAGGTAAAGGTTCCCCTTGACAATTTTTGTCCAGTCGTGTTCAACTCTAGGGGGCGGTGCTCATCCCCGTTTCTAAGCCATAGAGCCAGCGTTTGTCCGAAGACAATCTTCCGTGGTCACATGGCCAGTGCGACTTACACATGGAACGCTGTTACCTTCCCACCAAGGTGGTCCCTATTTATCTACTCGCATTTGCATGCTTTCAACCGCTAGGTTGGCGGGAGCTGGGACAAGCGATGGGCACTCATTCCACATTGTGGATTTGATCTTACAGCTGAAGATCTACAGACCTTGCAGCACAGAGGCTTCTGTGGTTTAACCCGCAACACCACCATGTCCCTCGGAGGTCATAAACCCAAGATTTAAATATCTCACTTACCATGAAAGCATCTGTTAGGGTCACTATAGTCAGTTCTAACTTAAAGCACTCTCTGGACGGTTCAGTTTAATTATGAAGGCTACACATTGTCCCCTCCCCAGCAAGCTGGGTATCAATTTACTGACCTCAGCAGTACTTTTCCTGCCTACTGGACCAAATTTACAGAACCTTACCCCAATACGTTAAGCCTCCCAGGAAGCAATGGGGCAGAAACTAGGCCAGAGACAGCCTACTGTCCTACTCAGCTAGACAACATAGCAGAGCTACACAGAAAGCTCCCTTCATTTAGAAACACCTGAACTGAACAAACCACAAACCAGTTTTTTTAAAAGAAAATTCAGCATAGCTCATAGTCCGTGGACATCAATGAACTATGAACTACCACAAACCACCATTGTGCCAGTTCATGCCCGTCTCTTATCAACATCCACTAATCGGAAACACAATATCCACAATTCAGCAACATTCCACACATTCTCCTGTTACAGAACCTAAATTACTTAACAGGGCATGAAGGAGACAAAAATGTAGGACACATCAATATTGTTCAACTGGGGACAATGAGATGACTTCACAGACAAAAGCAACCCAAGCAATGAAAAGGTAAATGATGTTCCATCACAGATTTGGAAGGATCTTACCTTTTTTTGGCATATAGCAGAAATTTCAGCTGTGAATGGAAGGCAAATAGAAGATCAAATCATTATGATCTGTTCTCTATCATGAATGCTACAGCAGACATGGGGATTTGGGGATTTAGATGTTTTTCTTCAGGAAATGTAAAGCCAACATGATGGATAGTGTGTCAGATTAGGGCTCAGTAAACTTGGGTTTATATATCTCTGCTTAGCTTTGGAAACTCACTGGGATGTGTGTGGCAATGGTTAATCACACTTTGAATATCTTACATATCTGGGAAATTCTATTAAAGTCACAATCGTGTGGCCTTAGCAATAATATTAGAAGTTCCATCTATGCTTTAAATTCACAAGATCTCAGAATCATACCAGAACTTGTCTGAAATTTTTCATAAGGAAGACAGAGAAAAATACTAGCCTAATCTACTTTTAAAAAGAGTATTCAGAGACACACACCCCGAGTCAGAATGATACAGGAAGAAAGTATTTGTTAACACAAATGTGTGAAAAGAAAACTGGCAACCCAGTCAATGAGACTTTGTTAAACATTTCTTCAAAATCCACTGTTCAAAATGAGGGCTCTTAATCGTACGAATCAAAAAGCATTGTGCAGATGTTCCATCTTTTCGTTCTTAAGAATTTGTTTTGTGAAGAGTGGGAAAAGGGAGAGAAAGAAGGATTGGGAAAAGACACAACAGTTGTGAGAGGAAGTCGACAACACCTTTCTCCTCCTCAGTAAAACTATATGAATGATGACATTTTATAGGGGAAGTCCTATCCAGAAGCATCCATTAACACTTATATATACATCATAGAATGCATTTTGAACCTCATTTTTCTTCAGCACAAAATACAGTGGACACGATAGTAGCCATTGTTTTGTTTATAACCTTCCTTAAATAGCAGACAAAATCCTGTTGATTTTATCTGCTTGCATAGCGCTCCATTACGTGTGTTTCTAAGCTTGTGCAAAAAGTGTTGCACAAGTGTAAACCCTGCTGATTTCAGCAGGGCAGTCTTTGGTTTGTGAAATTATGTGAGCAGCACTGCACTCCTCCAGGAAACAACAGGATATGGGTCAGATTATTTTCTCCAAAGCTTCCATAAAAGCTTAGAACAGTATTTTTAAAATGCCATCCTCATTAAAACCCACTTCTCCAACTTGATATTTACTTGCCAGTCTATCCACTACAGAGGTTGTAAAGTTATTTTTAAGACAGTGAATATGACAATCAAAGCATCATTCTGTCATTGTGCTATTACGGAGGGTTTGAACCTGTAATGATTTTCTTCTTCTTTAGAGCAACTTTTCAAGTTCTCCATTGTCAGCTACATGTACCCACTAGCTCATTTCGTCTTGTATAGTGTATTAAGTTGCAGTAGAATAGGCTCACTGAATCAGTGGGGATTTGGTACATAAACTCCTCCAAAAAATCCATTGAGTCAAACAGGCTTACTCTAGTTATGATTTACTTTAGTATACTGTAATCTGCAGGTAGGATGTGCTGTACCACATACTTGGTGATAACCAGGTGTTGGGTTAAATGACTTTTGAGCACACCTTTTTAATCCTGAAATTCCAAAATTCCATAAATACCCAAATCACTGCATTGTTGTAATCTGCAGGTAGGATGTGCTGTACCACTTACTTGGTGATAACCAGGGGTTGGGTTAAATGACTTTTGAGCACCTTTTTAATCCTGAAATTCCAAAATCCCATAAATACTCAAATCACTGCATTGTCAACATAATTTCCTATCTAACTTTAAATTCTGCCTTACCTTGTGGTAAAAGAACATCAATCAGCCATTCACTGTGATCCCTTAAAATGGAAAAAAAAGTCAGAGGAGATTGTGATGCTTTATGTAACAGCTGTTTTTCTTTACATTAATAGAATGGATGATTATAAATATAAAAAGAGGGATTTATTCATTCATTCATTTATCATACAAAGCTCCAGAATCCAGATTTAATCCCTGAACAGAGGACATATGAGCATTCCCACAACTGGAAATGGAAGGCAACTGTAATAAATAACCCATTACCCCAGCAGCCTCTTATATCTGAAAATTTGTTCTGGGTGGCTGGAAATCCCATTATAGTCATGGAAAGATCTTGGAAGTTAGTTTCAAAAAGCAATTAATTACTATTGTATTTTCAAAGCCCTCCAAAGCACTAATTCCAGTTATGGTTGCATTTATTTTAAATAACTGATTATTGTTTTTACTTTGTTTTTATGAATGCTGAAAATCACTGCCCACAGATATAGACTAAAAAGTATCTGTGTCAGTTTGTAGTTTATTGCAGCAAAAAAAATAAATTGTGGCACCAGAAAGAGTAAATGTTTTATTTGCCATAAGCTTTCATGACCTGCAACCCACTTGTATCCGGAGATCCTACTATAAAAGTAATTCGAAATGCAAGAAGTATACCAAAAAAAGGAATGGCATAATCTCATTTTATGTTGCAAGTAGACATTTTGTCATTTGTAATTTCTTACTTCTAAACTCTTGAGAGTCCCCTGGACTGCAAGGAAAACAAACCTATCCATTCTAAAGGAAATCAACCCTGAGTGCTCACTGGAAGGACAGATCCTGAAGCTGAGGCTCCAATACTTTGGCCATCTCATGAGAAGAGAAGACTCCCTGGAAAAGACACTGATGCTGGGAAAGTGTGAAGGCAGGAGGAGAAGGGGACGACAAAGGATGAGATGGTTGGACCATGTCATCAACCAACATGAATTTAACCCAACTCCGGGAGGCAGTGGAAGACAGGAGAGCCTGCCGTGCTCTGGTCCATGGGGTCACGAAGAGTCAGACACGACTAAATGACTAAACAACAACTTCTAAACTCGGGTGAAGGAGGAGGAATTGGCAAAGCCGCTTTTCTTCCCTGACTAAACGACTAAACAACAACAACTTCTAAACTCTGGTGAAGGAAGAGGAATTGGCAAAGCCACTTTTCTTCCCTCCCCCCATCTTTCTGTTCACAACTCCCTAGCTAGCCATAATTTTTTTTATATTTTTTACTGTTTTAATGAACCCTCATGGTCACATTGCTTTTCTTGTAAGTAACCACTACGTGAATGTCAAGTCTGCCATTTTCTCTTCTCTTTGTAGATGACATTGTGGATTCTAATTTAGAAGATGAAAAAAACTACATAACACAGTGGCTATCCTCCGATGGCAAAAGGTACCAGCCAAACATAAAAAGGGAACAAACTGCTCCAGTATTAAATATGCTGTGCCTGTTTCAAAGCCAGGCCCAGGAGCAAATTGAATTATTTTTGCTTGAGATCTCAATCACAGATGACTTCATCATGAAGGTGACTTCTATTAAAGTAAATTACTTTTAACATTTTAAACCCTCTGCAAATTATGTTGGTAGAATGCCAAGGCAGTCGCACACAGAAACAACCAAAAATAACTCGTGTTCTTTTTGTTCTAAAATTTAGTTAATTTGGATATGTTTGCCCTAAAATGTAACAAAAGCTGTGTGAAGCTAAGAGAATATGATAATTAAACAAGGAAGATGCAATGTATTTTTAAAATGTAGGTGTCACCCACCCCCAAATCTAACTGCAAGTCTGGGTCAGATTTCATGCTTACTTATACTTCTTGTTATTACCACACACAAAAATGTTCCCATTTAGATATCTTATGAAAGAAAATAATGGTAGTCTGGTGGGAGGAAAGATCATATAATACATTGCCTTTAAAAAGTGACCGACTGAGTGGGAAATACTTCAGAGTTTATACTTCAACCCTTCAGAGCAGTGATTCCCAACTTTGAGTAACCCAGATACTCTTGCACTGCAACTTCCAGTAATCCCAGCCAGTAGAGCTGGTGTTGAAGGTTTCTGAGAATGGCAGTTGAAGAACGCCTTGGTTACTCGAGCTTAGAGCAACATTTGGAACCTTGTCCCTTTTTTTTAATGCTGAGGGCCACATTCTCATTCCTTCTGTTGCTGCATGCCAACAGATACATGACTTGTGAGCTCAGGAGGAGGACACCTTTCTGACATTTTGGGGTGAGACACCCCCTTATCCAGGTCTACAACCTGCTCTAGGTAAGAGGTATCAGAACTGAAAGAAGCCCCTTGTGTTTTCTCCCCCATTCTCTCTTTCTCCCTCTCTCTTTCACACGGACATATACCTTACCCCATTTCAGATGTGACTGTGAAGCAGAAACAGACTGTACAATTCCCATCTGACTGTGCAAACCTGTGCAGCAACTTTCTCCAGAATCATGATCAAACTGGAACTCCACACATTCACACTTAATTTTTTTTGTCCTTCACTTACTCTTTCCAAGGCTGCGCTCTCTCCCTCCCTTCTCTGCTTCCAAGAGAGGGAAAGATCAATCCTGACCACTTGCAGGATTTTTATATGAGGCTCATGAAATTAGACCACAGTTTTATGACAGAGTAGCTGCTAAGGTATCATCCAAAAAAGAAGAAATGCATTACCGAAACAAGTAGCAACCTATTTGCATAAAATTTACATGTGTTACTTTGTGGCGAGCATTGTTTCTTGTTTTTCTTTTCTTTTCTTTAGTTTCCTTTAATTTATTTTTCTTTGCTTTGCTTTCCCTTCATTTTCCTTTCTTTCTCTTTTCTTTTCTTTCTCAGGAGAGCTGAGTTCAAGTTCTCAGCCAGAGAAACTCACTGAGGGTCTGGCAGTGGTAAACTGCTCCATGAACTGCTCACAGACCTTGAAACCCTGCTACAATTGCACAGGTTGTAAGCAACTTGGCAGAAGAGAAGAGTAACACAATTTATTTTTAGAAACAAGTACTGTACAGTATTATAATTTATATTAAAATATAATAATCATAGTGAAGAAGATTATGGTTATGTGGTCTGTGTTCCTCCTTTGCCTGCTGCTCAGGTGGTCCTTGCTTATCATTCTGATGGTGGTTGATGTTTAAACTAGAATGGGACCACATGATACTCCAAATAGTGCTCCTCAAATAGAAGATGCCTCCAAATATGCTCTGACAGCACTGTCCTTTGCAAAGGCTGTCCTACCCCAGAGCTGCAGATTGCCCATAGTGGTTTTGTGGCCACCTTCAAAGCTTAATGCCTCAATAGAACTACTGTTTTCCTCGAAGCGTGAGAGCATGTCAGAAATAGTTCTATTTTTATCCATACTACTTCCAAGAAATTTCTTTAAAACCTGCCTTCAGCCTCTTCTTCTATTCTGTCAAAATTGTAAGAAATGAAAAGCAGACACGATAGTTCAAAGGCTATAATTTTTAAAAGGTGTCTAAATCTCACAGCTATGGATTTGAAAAACCAAGGGGGAATTTCCATATTGGGTGCAAGATCAGAAGAGATTTGGGCAAAGGCTACTGAAATCTGATATGCAGCATTGTGACAATGACCACAGTGGCCAAGGATGATGGGAGTTTTAGTCCAACACATCAGAAGGGCACTAAGTTGGGAAAGGGGGCTACATCACTGAACATAGACTTCCCAACCTTGTTATTCCTGAAATTTCTCTGGAAACAAAAATGCTGAAACTGTGACTTATACTTTGGGCACATCGTGAGAAGGCAAAATCCTTTAGAGGAGACAATAATGCTGGTAAAGGCAGAAGGCCGCAGGAAAAGAGGAAAACCAAATACAAGATGGATCAACTCCCTAAAAGAACCATAGCCTTGAATTTACAAGAACTGAGCAGGGCTTTTGAGGAGAGGACATTTTGGAGATCGATCATTCATAGGATTGCCATAAGTCGGAGGTGACTTCATGGCATGGAACAATCTTGTGATTCCTTGTTATGAACCAGAGCCTGTCTTTCCTCAAACCCACCCGTGTACCTTGACTTCTCTTTCTCTTCCCCCAAGATGACAACTGCCTTTTCAAATCAGGACACAGTCCCTTCTCCCAGCAAGAATGGCACTGCCTCAGAATGAATCCTCTGCTTTTATATCAAGTAGAATTCATGTCCACTAAATTAGTGCTGGCTGCCTTTCCCTAGTTAAATAATAAAGCAGCACTGGCATTGATTTGGCAACTGGTATCCTTTTTCCTGTTTTCTCTCCCTTTCAGTAGTTCACTGTTCAATCTGAGGAATGCCATTTTTGGTTTCAATTCAAGTTGGTCCTGAGGTCTGGCACAGCTTCCCAGAGTAGATTATTCTTAAAATCACTGTGATTTCATTTTGTTTCTGTTTCAGCCTCTCTTGGATCTACCCACCCCGCAATCCTCTGGCTGCATTCTTCACAAAGGTAGAGGGGTGGTGGTTTATCACCCAGAGCCACAGATAAGGAAGGATCGATGCACATCTGAAACACAGAGAAAGGGCAGGATTAGTTTCTTTCTCCCCCAAAACAGTGCTCCTGCCAATGAACAAAAACCTCTTGAATAAAATAATTGCAAAACCTCATTATGGGCAGAAGAGAACCCACCTTTTTTTGGACCTTAGATTTGCTCAGCCTCTCCTATCTCTTTTATCAATATTTCAACTTTGGAAAAGGGCAGCCACAATAATAAGATGGTGGTGGTGAGTTGAATCTTTGTGAGGTCTATTGGCTGATGCTACCCTAATCCCAGAGAAAAAAGTCAGGAGACAATGTGATCTCATTCTTTTCTGATGGAGTAGCTTTGCTAGGTAAGAGTATGCTTAAGACTGGCTGAATAATCCTTTGTGGTAACATTGAGGGGCCAGAACGATGCAAAATTTACCTGCGGATGAGACTGGGCTGAGCAAAACTACAAGTCACTATTCACTACTATATGCAACAAGAATATTACTCGCTTACCTTCAGAGCCAAATCATACAAGTAATTTACTGCTTGGGAGGGAAGGATGAAGGATTTTTTTAAAGAGCAGAAGCGAGGAACAGTTGACCCTCCAGACTTTATTTCCCAGAAGCCTCCACTAGCATGAGCAGTGATAAGAGATTGTGGGAGATGTCATTAATACCATTTGAAGAGCCAGTCTTTCCTCACCTACACTTTATATAATGACTTGGGAACAAGCCATGCAGAGGGTATAGGTGTTCCCAAAATCACAAATGCAGCATCCTCCAAAATAAAAAAATTAAATTTGTACCACTAAGATATATAGTTCTGTTGCCCAGGATAGCATAGAATTGTGTGCAACAGGGCATGGAAGCACCTTCAACCTCTTTTGTGTTTTCCCCCCGCTCTCAAACATGTAATGTCACCTATCTCAGTGGTCCCCAACCTTGGGCCTCCAGATTTTCTTAGACTACAACTCCCAGAACCCTTCACCACCACCTCTGCTGGCCAGGATTTCTGGGAGTTGAAGTCCAAGAACATCTGGAGGCCCAAGGTTGGGGACCACTGACCTATCTGGTATCCTTCTGACATCATGACACAGTGTTTTTCACCACCCCAACTCTGCATCATTTGTTAAAGGGTGCATAGGAAGGCATAATATTACAATATTACCATCAAAGCTTGGCTATCCTGAGTGGAAGATTCTGGACGTTATAGTCCAAAAAAGGATCTTTTCCAAGCACTATGTTTATACATTAAAGGGACAGCTCAACACTGAGATACTCTTTTTGGTGGCAACCCATGTCTTCTCTAACATGAACCTCCTCCTTCCTTATTATGAGAACATATTTTCAATTCTGTCCTGCTTCTTACCTCAAATATTAATATATGCAGCCATGAGAAAACAGCACATTAATGTAAGCTATTTAAATGCTAAACCTTCTCATTACAAAGAGTGAAAGCTGCTTCAGCTATTTCTAACTCTTCTATGCAAAAGCAGCACATCCTAATTAGAGTTATAATTGGCCAATGATAATTGGCTGAATGATATGGAGCAGACATGGACTATTCATATTCATATCCCTGGGGATACAAATATGAATAGCAGCACCACAGGTACCATGGAAGCCCATTCCCTTCCCCCAGAACCAGGCAGTTTTTGTTGTCACGTCAATCTGAGAAGAAGCCTGGCCATTGCTTCCCCGCCTCCCAGAGCAGCCGCCCATTCTGGCAAGGAGTTGGGATAGAGAATCTCCCCACTTAGCTGATGAATGGTTGTTTCTGCAGAGAAGCAAGGAAGTGCCAGCCAGGCTTCTTCCCAGATTGGTACAATGACAATGAAGGACCCCAGGGCTGCACGGCAACTGGTGAGTGAACTGGCTGGTTCTGGGGGAGGGAATGGGCCTCCATGGCACCTGTGGTGCAGCTATTCATTTTCATATCCCCAGGGATATGAATACAAATAGCCCATGTCTAACAAGGAATTACAGCTCTGTGGGAAGTGGGGTTGGTAACATGTGGAAAATAATCAAGAGAAACATCCAATAAGGAGACAGACTTGGTCCAGACATTTCTGTTCTATAAACAATATATAAAGATATTTTAAGTAAAAATTATTTATTTAAAAAAACCCACATTTCTAACAAGCTGGAGAGTTAAATAGGAATAACTAGAGAGATTACTCAACCTTAAATAACTCAGGTGTTCTTGGACTGCAACTCTCAGAAATCCTGGCGAGCACAGCTAGTAGTGAAGGCTTCTGGTAATTGTAGTCCAAGAATACCTGGGTTACTCAAGGCCGGGAACCACTGCAGGGGATTGGTTGTACTAGACCAGTGGTTCTTAACCTTTGTTACTCGGATGCTTTTGAACTGCAACTCCCAGAAACCCCAGCCAGCACAGTTGGTGGTGAAGGCTTCTGGGAGTTGCAGTCCAAAACTCCTGAGTAACCCTAGGTTAAGAACCAGTGTACTAGACAATATTGCAGTTTGAATGGTTGGGAGGCTTTTTTGAAGATAACATGGTTTTCCTTTCAGCTTCTAACTTTAAGAGACTGGCTGAATAGCTGAGTGAGCTCAGTATGGCTGGAAGTGCCTCCCAGCAGAACAACCAAACTGTGTAGCCTTCGACAAGCTCCACAGCCCCATGATACCCTCCAGAAGAAGAGAATGGTAAACCTCTTCTGAGTTCTCTCTACCTAGAACACCCTGCAAAAGGTCTTCCTAAGTAAGAATTGATTTGATGGCACAGCACTATTATTCTAACTCTAAATGTAGAGTAACCACAGTATTTTAGAGACTGCTGGAACCAGAGATGGGAAATTTTACTGTTTGGGACTGCAGCTCCCACAATAACATAGCCAGCATGACCGCTGGTGATGATGGCTCAGGTATTCTGGAATTTACAGTCCAAAAAAAGGCAATTCTTACAATCTCTGGCCAGGACATTTTTAAACATGACCTCTCACTGGACACCCTGTAAGGTGCAGGAATATTTGTTACCTTTACTGCTGGCTTGTTAATGGCATTATGGCATTCAATGTGCTGACAGTGTATGGGATTCCATGCTGAAAAACAAAGAAGCAAGAGTTATGCATCATCAAGCACCTGTTAGATACAGAACTAACTGGAATCAATAAGCTCAAATGCATGGATTTCAAATGGGAAGGTTTGATTTTAGGGTTCAGAGCTATAATATCTGACAGATTCTGAACAGTTTTTAATCTCTTGTTCTCATTATTAGCCTCTTTCAGAAAAATCAACACCATAAATCCATTAGTATAACATGGCCCTGAATTTATTCCCAAATGTGCAGTTTGAATGGCAGGCATGTATAATAGCACTCTGAATTCTAGTCTGCAACCCAAAGGCCTAAATCTCTTTGCAAATTAAAGAACTGCCTCCACCCTATGTACAGTTGATGTTCCTTTTAATGCACTGAGATGAGAACTTCTCCCAGTCTTACACACAGTGAGCACTGGGAAGAATCAAAATTATGTGGAGAATTGCCACTGGTGTCAATTCACACATTCAGCTGCTACTCATCAAACACTAAATAAACAATACAAGAATTCAAGTGGTCTATATATGGGTGTGAACAGCAAAAACAGAATACAGGTCAGGTGCTGAGGTCTCAAGAATAATGTCCTCTTTACCCCTTCTGAGATCAAATAAAAATGCTTCTACCCGGCCACAGAAGTATCAGTGAAGAACTGGCACAGTGGCAAATCAACAGATTTGCATAACTCCACAAGGTCATTGTAGAGTTAGAACTGCCCAGCAGATCACCTGGTGCAGCCCTCTGCCCCAGGAAAGGACAGCCTATATGGAAATCATCAAAACCACCGACCAAGGACTTCCCATGCTTTCTTTTGATTACTTCTTCCAATGCTTAATTCCTTTTCCAGGCAGGATATGAAAAATAATCGTCATCCTGGGTGACGAAACCATTCAGAGACACAGAAACCTATGAGTGCCTCTTATATATGGAAATGAACAGATTATACACATGGTTTGAGTATACCATTGCACAGAAAAACAATGGTGTATTCAAATGCCTCTACAGCATTTATGAGTACTTCCTGCCAAGCGTGTCCATCTAGCACTACTGCCCAGCTTGACTTACCTGTGTATTGCAGGCCTCGATATTCACTTATTGCCCCTGGAGGTTTTAGGTTGGGCCAGTAGTGGAAAAGCATTTGTACTGCAGGTGGTTTTACTTGAGAGGGGCCATATGCTATTACATAAAGCAAGTCCTAAGAGAAAGACAAGTATGTCAAGGGCTTAATTGCAAAAGATGCCGGTGTTGAGAGGCCTGATAAAACCTAAGCAACAAAACAATATGACCCTGCAGTGGACCACAGAAAATTGTACACATTTCAGAATTCCTTTAAAGGCCTAAATGTATTTAGGCTGCTTTATTATATCAGTGTATTCATCTAGGAGTAAGTACCTTTGAAATCAATGGTGATTATCTCTAAGTCAACATGCGTAGGATTCCACTCCTGACTTACAGTCTTTTACACCAATGGTTCTTAACCTTGGGTTACTCAGGAGTTTTGGACTGCAACTCCCAGAAGCCTTCACCACCAGCTGTCCTGACTGGGGTTTCTGGGAGTTGCAGTTCAAAAGCATCTGAGTAACAAAGGTTAAGAACCACTGTTTTACACCAATGGTTAATAGCTTAGGAATCTTCAGGTGTTGTCAAGCTACAACTGCCAGAATCCGTGACCACTGACCACATTGTCTGGGCCTTCTGGGAGATGAGGTCCCAAATTTGTAAAGGCTGGGAATCCCTGCTACCTGGGAATCAGCCCCATTTCAACATAGGAATACTCAAGACTGCACCAACAGCTTCAGAAAATGGAATCTGCTCATTTCTCCTGAGAATTCCTCTAGACAGATTTACACAGAATTCATTTTCAGTGATGGGATTCAAACTCTGGAATGCCCTAGCCATGAAGATTTACTAGACTTCTTCCTGGTTTGCTTTCTGGCAGATGAAATGTACTTAAACATTCCTGCATGTTTTTACTGTACAGTGGTGCCTCGCTTTATGATTGTCCCGCATTACGATGAATACGCTTAACGACAATCTTTTTGCAATTGCAATTGCGATTGCAAAATGATGGTCTGAATGGGGGAATTTCGCTTTGCGTTGATTGGTTCCCTGCTTCGGGAATCAATTCTTCGCAAAATGACATTTTTTGAACAGCTGACTGGCAGTTTCAAAATGGCTGCCGGGGGATTAAGATGGCTCCCCGCTGTGTTTAGGGACGGATTCCTCGCTATACAGGCTGTGAAAATGGCTGCCGTATGGAGGATCTTTGCTGGACGGTGAGTTTTTATCCCATTGGAACGCATTGAACGAATTTCAATGCGTTTCAATGGGCTTTTTTCGCTTTACGATGTTTTCGCTTAACTGCGATTTTCATGGAACGGATTATCGTCAAGTGAGGCACCACTGTACAATGATCTTCATCTTGTGTTTAAGGGCTATGTGGTTTTAACACAGGACAAACAGACTGCAGGCTTCTTTTTTCATGAGAATCCTACAGTTCAGCTATGCCATGTATATATTTTTGGAATTCTGGACCAAGGATGCCTCTGAGCATACAACTAAGGTCACAGTAATGCCACACCCAAATATATTCTGCTTTCTTCCCTCTCAGCAGATAAATTCAGAATAGAGAAGGCAAAGCATTTTACTGTTACCATATTTAAATAAGACACAGAAGTTATTTACTGAAAATAACTCAGCAAATCAGTCTCTCAGCAAATTCTGATTTTATTTCTTCATTCAAAGCATTCTCAATCATTTTTATGCTCACCAAATTAATGTACAATACAGAAAAATTATTGTTAAAAGCTAATTTTAAACAATTAAAAAAAACAAAAGCCAGGTTTGAATAACACGCTTGTGACAACCCACCAGAAGCTCAACATTGATGAAGCCAACCTGATTACCCTCGGGAAAACTATCCGTCTGCCTTCTGCAGTTTTAATGAATCAGTTTGCACCTGTGTTATTTTTTTAGTTTATCTTGGCTTTTTTGTTGCATATTGTCAGTTGACTATTTCTGTATGCCACTTTTCTTGTTAGAAGAAAGAGATGAAGATGAAGATGAGATTAGCATAGACAAACTTATACAGTGGACCCTCTACTTACGGAATTAATCCGTATTGGAATAGTGGCTGCAGGTTGAAAAGTCTGTAGGTCGAGTCGCCATTGACCTACAATGCATTGAAAACCGATTAATCTGTAACTGGCCGTTTTTGTTCTGTTTTTGTTCCATTTTGGGTTGTTTTCCGGTCTGTAAGTCGATTCTCTGGCTGCAAGTCGAATCTAGATTTTGCAGCCAGAGAAGTCTGTAACTCGAAAAGTCTGTAAGTTGAGGGTCCCCTATAATGGTGATGGAGATGGTGATGACAAGGATGCTTCCTTTAAGTCACAGTTACCAAGGGACAGATTCTGATGTTGGAAGTCTGGACAGGTTGCAGAGGCACAATCAGACACAATGAGAATGGACCAGAATTTTGGCAAAGTCCAAGGCAATGGCCAAATCTACCATTAGGCAGAGAGAGAGAGAGATAGCAGCCAGGATATCAGGAAAGGGCAGCAAACTTTGTCTTGTTATTATTGTATTTTACAGGCAGTTATGCTTATAGGTGTTTTTGTCTCCTGTCCTAAAGTAAATCAGCTGTTTGGCTTTGAGTATCATGTACCTAGACCTGGGTGGCAGGAATTTCTTTGGATTTTTTGCCTCAGGCAACAAAATGTCACAGGCTTGCCCTAGTTCATGCACATAATTTAACTCCAAAAAGGGGCTACCAATGTGATTTCGTCTGGTGATTGAATGGTCTATTTATACATCAAGTATTGATGCATTCAAGCTATTTTATACAGTATTATGCTGAAGGCCACAAAAATCCCAGAACCACACATTCACTTAATTGGAACCTGGCAACAGATTACTAGGTTGCTTTACAGGTCAGGAAGCATATTCAATACCCACTACTAGGGGGAAGATTTCTATGACGTGTCATATATTTTTCTGCAGCCTTTTGGAAAATATGACACGTCATAGAAATCCTCCCTCCCCATCCAAAAGCCCTTCCACAATGGCATCTGCATATGAACATATTCAAAGACTTTAAGGCAAAGTGGTACAATCAACAAAATATTTTTAAAACAACTCAGCCAATTAAAAACAATACAAAACACTTGATAAAATAGAAAAATAAGATCAGCAGTGTAACAGATTAAAAACTCAAGCCAGATAATTAAACCTCAGATGAAGAGCCATATTTTTACTACACATTGAAATAAGACCACCATTGGCACCAACAGGGATATTTTAAAAGAACGAATCTCTGCTATTCCCTTCCACTAGCTTTCACCACATCTAAAATTGGAAACCAAAAGAACCAAATACACAATGGAGGAAAATATCTACATGATTTCATATTGTAAAACTATACATATATGCTCCCTAAACCTTGGGAAAGCAATCAGATGTATAAATTGCTCAAATTTATTTTAGTGATTCAAAGCAACATCAAGTTTACAATAAATTACTATTCATTCCACAGTTTTCAACAAATACATATTTAGGCACAAACTTACTTTCCATACTTCTTGTTTGTACTTCATAAGGCATTCCAGTAACTGACAGTGGTACACTGGGAAAGAAAAGACAGACTGCATTAAATACCACATTTAATGGAAATGCTTTGTGATGTGTTCATTGGCCTTACTATGCATCTATTTGGCAAGTCAAATGGATATAATATTATGTCTGATTTGATGAATAAAATGCTATATGTGGATTATGAAACCAGCATCAAGGAAGCAAATAATCGATTGCCACAGGCAATTGGCAGAGCTTCAAAAGTTTATATTTTTAGACTGTAACTCCAGAATCCACTCAGTAATGGGCAACTGGACATGCTGCCTAAGCAATTCTTTGGGTTTGGGTCCAAAAACTATGAAACATAGTACAGTCCTCATGAGTGTGTACTAACATACATAGCAGACTGCATGTCTCAATGTACATGTGCACATAGCCCATAAATTGCACATCATCAACCCTTCGGGTACGCAAAATACTTCCTTATATGTGTAAGCTAGCATGCAGAAGAGAATTCTATCCGTGGTTCCCAACCTTACATAACCCAAGTGTTCTAGGACTACAACTCCCAGAAACCCCAGTCATTACAGTTAGAGGTGAAGGCTTCTAGGAGTTGCACCTGGGTTACCCAAGGTTGGGAACCATTGTAGACTGTGTTCTGCACTTTATGTCAGATTTCAAAGTACAAATGAAGGATATTCAAAGATAAGGATTGTTGGTGCTGAGTATTTTAACCAAGTGCAAGTATTCCTTCATGCAAAAGAAGCTTCTTTCAAACCATCCAGTGCTGCCACCATTTTTAGCATCAGCATAAAGGACAAAAATCAGCAGGTGATTTTTTTTTCCCCACAGCACAGCAATGTTATGATAGAGAACAGGTCAGCTTCTTATGGAGCTGTCACAACATGGAGTCCTCTGTTGCTGCTTTTTAAGGTGCAAGTTATCTACACTGCACACAATACCTGAATAGATCCCAATTATCAGCTCCAGCATGACAATGCCCTTTCGTTCTAATTTGCAATCAACATGTCAGACTGCAGGAGGCGGAATTTGTCCTTCCATAACAAGGTATAATTAAGAACCTCATGGAAATGCCAGATATGAGGCAATCAACACATTTCTACCTAAATTTAATACAAATGTCGTTGCTCCTTAATTATCGCTAAGGAAAGTGTGATTTTTTAAAAAAAACTGATGTTCTATTTTCTGAGATCAAAATAGAATGTATAGAATTGGTTCAGAGACTTTCAACGCTTTGCAACACAATAAATGTAATTATCACTGCCAAGGTAGATGCTTCAGGAAGCAGTCTCAGACAATGGAATAGAGCCATGTTCAATTCATTTTCGAAATAAAGACACACCGAGAGGCATTAAGAACTCATTGAGGGGCCATTCATGGAGTGTTAGCTTTAAACTAGGTCTACAGAATTACACACACCAAATGCACACTCTATATTTTGAACTCATTGTTACAAGGATTTGCTTGCTGGAGGAATTACAAATGAACAAGGAGCCCAAAAAGCAAGTACGCACCAGGGTTGGATGTATACTGCATTGCAATCATTAGCATAGAAGATGCAGAAAGATTAACATGAGCAGGTACCCCTTCTCTTCGCGAAGAGCCCACTTCAAAGAAAGACAACAACCAACAATTAGTAGCTGGCAAGCCAAAACTATCTGTCATCATAATAAAAATGCCATCAAATATATGCTGGTATCCTGTTCCATCCTTCCATTAATACAGTGCTCCACCAGGCAAGTGACTGAACAATAATGGAATTTGTGTAAGGTAGTACCTGGCACTTCCTTATCAGTGATGGCTGGTGATTCAAATTTCAGGGTTGTTATGAATTCATTTGTTTTCCAGTCTGTTCCGTGCTTTATGGAACTATCCAAGGTGCTGAACCATATTCCAAAAATAGGCTCAACACCGTGGATAAAGTGCAGATTAAAACCTGGTGTGGATTCACAGCACCCCTGAAACTGGAGTCATCAACTGCCCCTGCTCCTTATGCAAGTGAAAGCCCCATTCAAGTTAACAGGACCTTCCCATGATCTCTGCCTCTCAGACAAAAAAACATGCAGGACAGTGTGGCAGTACATAATGTTCCACATGCAATCAAAAAGCATTCTGTCCTGCAAAATCCAAATTAGTCAGCAAAGCTGGCATTCAATCATAACATCATAGAATTCAACCCATGACATCTTCCTCCAATATTCATTTATTTATCTATCGTTAGTTGCATTTACATCCCATGTTTCTTCCACAGCTCTTCTTCTCCACACTTTATCATCACAACAAACCCATGAGTTAAGCCAGGCAGAGAGATCAGTGTGTTTCATGACTCTGTGGGGACTCCCTCCCAAGTTCTATTCCAACATTCTCACCACTACACTGTCTGATTCTCAGTTCTGCATCCATCTGTATCTTACATTTATGCCACTGTGTCATAGCAAGTTGTCAACTGGTAGGCTCCTTGTTCATCTCAGTTGGCGGTCTATGACTCTTTTCCAATTTGCACCGAACAATTTGCCCAAGCCAAGAAGCTACAAAGCTGTTGACAGCTAGTTGACTGGAGGTATCAGAAAGCTCAGTGGACATTATCTTCCCTATATTTCTGAACTCTGATCTTAGTATTACTCATCCATTTCACACTTGGTCATGGTACATGACTTACAAACGGACTGGTCCTACCATGAACCTCAATGAGTCATGAGGCTGAGGCAGCAAACTGGGAGGAGTGGCAGCTTACACTCCCATTTGCCATCTGCAGTAAGTATGATCAGCATTGCAGGCTCAGTAGAAAAACCAAACAGACCTGCAGATAAATAAGGACAGATCCTCGTGTACTCAGAGGCAAGTATCTCTGTAGCCAAAATGCAGAAAAGGGTGAGAGGTAAGGTATGATCTTAGATACAGGGCTTGATACCTATGCACTCAATTCTTTTTAAACTGAGTGATCCCCTTATGTGTAACATAACATAGATTTTTATATTTCCTACATTAGATGTATTTAATTTTTTTAAGTGAATATTCTCTACTGTCTAGCAAAATTTCTTACAGATGATTTCTCAAAATATGCAAATCCACTGCAGAGGATCCCATCCATGGGCAATCACAATTAGCAAAATGCATCTCCATAATTACAGGTGAGTAATCTGTGCTTGCCCAATGCCCATGGCAAATTACATGTCAGTTACACCATGCCCTGCCTGTCGTTTCCCAGGTGTAAGGCTCACTAAATGTTAGACTGAAATATGTTCTTCTATTGTTGGTCAAGTCTAATGTAATCAGAGGCCAGGACCCAGAAGCAACCACACTGCATACAACATAATTTGGAATAAAACATCCTACAACTTTATTGGTAAGACAACAAGGGATCCCTACTGTGGCAATGAAAAATAGCAATAAATGAGGCAATATATATATTTTAATATCAAATAGTTAAAAGTGCATCTGGGATTTTTCATAAATGACACTTTGAAAGAGTCAGGTGAGTATATATATATATATATTCACCTGACTCTTTCAAACTGTCATTTATGAAAAATCCCAGATGCACTTTTAACTATTTGATATTAAAATGTACACTTTTTAAATGTTACAGAATATATCACTCCTGAAACACTAGTTATTTTCAGCACTTCCAAAATTCAGGACATTGCACAGGACTTGGCCAATAGACAAAAGCATGCAAACAGAAAGCCAGCAAAAAGTACAAACTCAATGCATATTAGCTTCTATATGTACTTTAATTGCTTAGCAAAACAGAAAATATGTAATGATCTTCTCACATATTCCCATAAGGCAAGAATGAGAACCTCTGGCTAGATGGCCAAATTTGGTCTTTGATTAGGGTAGCAGTATTTCTCATTTTCCCCTTAAATTCTCTGTCCCAAATCCTGGCACAGAAAACAAAAGCCACTCTATTTCATCATGTCTTCAAAACTGAACACCTAACCTTTAGTGCACACATAGACCTTGAAATTAGATCTAATTGTGTGTGTGCCTGCGTGTTGTATTTTATTGTAAGATAAGAGCCAGAAGAAATCTTCATGAGTTGTTTCCACAGGTTAATTCATCACAAACATTCACATCCCCCAGAGGAAATACTGTGATTGTCTCACCAAAGCAAATGGCTAGCATTTTCTTTCAGGAGTAAGAGAATTGGTGTCTACTTACATATAGCCATGGGCAAGAAAGATGTGCTGAGATACTCTATGATATCTTTGTGCAGAAATGGCGGGAACGTGGCCAATGTGGAGATCATTGTGTACGGTAAAGTACTCAAAATGTCATCATTGAGAAAAGGTAACAAACAAGTGGTTGTGTAAAAAATTGACTGGCCCAGATCTGCAAAAGGCACAAAAACAAATCATATGAATGCTTGATTATCAGAATTTGGAAAATGTTCTTTTTTTTCCCCCTCCCCTTTTCAGGTCACAGAATCTTGCTTCCAGTGCAGTTTATTATTAACACGTAAAGAGACATTCAATGGCTAAATCCTGTTGCTTAGCATAGTAAGTCACAACTAGAGTAGGCCCATTTGAATGCACAGAAGCTATAGAGATGTTGACTTACCACATTCCCACTGATTCAATGGCCCTACTTTAGTGCAACGTACCAGGCTAAGCAACAGGATTTCAGTCTACATTTCATTATTTTCATCTGGTAGATTTAATGTAGGTCACTGGTGCCAAAGGAACACCCTTGGAGGAGAGGAGAAATGGGTGGGAGGATGGCAAGGTGCTAAATCATTGCTGATGCCCGGAAAGCCCAAATTACTTTGGATATTGCCAGCCAAAGTGAGAGGCTGAGCAAGAAATGGACGCCTCAGAACCCTAAGTCAAAACACATAACACCTAAAAGCCACCAAGTTATTTTGGCACATAGGGTAGAAAACAAAAGCACCAGACTTCTCTGACAGGAGGTTAATAAATTAAATAGTTATAAATTTGCAGCCACTTAATGGCATCCCTGAACACTCTCATTGTCCTGGCCTTGGCTTCCTCTTACAGGTGAAACTGATGGAATAGGAGGACCTGCAATGGAAATCAGAACATTGTGGACAAGGATCTGGCTCTGCTGCCTTCTTAACTGCTCGATAACACTTTATGCCAATGGTTCCCATCCTTGGGTCCCCAGGTTTTCTTGCACTAAAACTCCCAGAAGACTTCATCACTAGCTGTGCTGGCCAGGATTTCTGGGAGTTTTATTCCAAGAACATCTGGGGACCCAAGATTTGGAACCAGTACATTTTGCAAGCCTTGCACAATTAGGGGCACACAATAGTCAGAAGGACTTTGAGTTCAATTAGCTTTATGGGGAAAATTAATGTTCCCAAAGTCAAAAGAAAACTGAGCAGCACCAGAATCTTACAGTAAAATTCATTCTGGAAACTCCTAAATGTAGATTAGAAATATAATCCTTGTAATTCCAAGGAGACTCTGAAAATAGTGCCATTATTTTGCTATTAGGGATACCATAAAAGATTGACACATAGACCCCACACCAATACATATATGCATAAAATCCATAATTACATTGGAAGCCAAGTCTTGAGCATTTTTTATCAATTGCATAATGATTTGATGCAAAAAAAGGTTCATTGCATTTAAATTCTTTTTTACAGTGTTGTTTTTCGTTCATATTGTACATTTAATTAGGATTTTTCTACATCAACATTCTAGTTTTCCTTCCTCAAACAGTTTGTGGTAACTGGCAGATCTTTAAAAACAGAAGACAACTAATTCCTTTTGCTTTCCATATGTCATGTTAAAAGTAGATGGGTTGAAAGGGTTGCAGAGGATAAGAAATGTTGCACCTCATCTAAAGCGTCCTGGATTCAAACATTAGCTCTGATCTAAAATTCTGAAGGGCATCTCAGGCTTGTTACTATTTTTCAGGTACTTGCAAGGTCATTGAAAGTTTATTTTAAAGTTAAAATGGACTAATCTCCTGAATCTCTTGGGGAAAATAAAATACAGAATTGTTGCTTCTTAACCAAATTAGCATATTTTTTCAGTTTTATTTAGCAATCATCTCCTACAAATAAATGGCTTCCCCATAGGATGTGTGGCAATCCAGATGTTTTCAGTTTTCCATCTGATTGCTTTTGGCATGCCTTTGGATTGCTCCTTCTCCTGTTCCACCATGATGCTTGAATCTGATATCCCCTGAACATTAAATGAGCTAAGATGCAGCAACTATAACCTTTCAGGTGTTTTGGCTTATAGTTTCCATCAGATCCACTCAGCATAGCCAATAGTAAGGGACTATGGGAGATGTAAGCTGAAATATCTAGAACAGTGGTTCTTAACCTTTGTTACTCGGATGCTTTTGAACTGCAACTCCCAGAAACCCCAGCCAGCACAGTTGGTGGTGAAGGCTTCTGGGAGTTGCAGTCCAAAACTCCTGAGTAACCCAAGGTTAAGAACCAGTGATCTAGAAGACGAAAGGTTCACCACCAGATCTAGACACAGCCGAGTTAACTGGAAGTGAATGCAAGCTGTGCCTTGCAGCTGAAAGTTAATAACACCAGCATTCACAACATGAGGGGTGGATGAATGTACATGTGTGTCTCTTTGTCTGTCTATCAGCCCACCATGGAAAGATTTGCAGGTAGAGAAATGAGAAAGGAGCCTGGGAAATTAACACAAGTTTCTGCCTCACAACACAGTTACATAGGGAGCTACCCTATAAGACACACTTATGGCAAACAGACAAGGACTATGGATCCACTGAGAAACAGACCGTGGCCCCAGTGATGAGGTTTGCCCCAAAGGTGAAGCATCTCCTCCTGCTTGGACCAAGGGCTGCCAGTCTATCCACCTCTAAATCACGTAGGAAGATGTGCAAATATGCCTTCAGGAATACACATTTTCATACAAGTAATATAGTTTGTGATCACACACCGTTATATTCATTCCAAATGAAGCCTTGTTTCTATTTTTCATACTTTACATATTCATTGTAGATACAGTGCATTTACAGAATACACACAAGACTTGAAATTCAGGTCCCTGCCAACTTAAACTTCTTTCCCTCCCGCGTTTTTCAGAGCTTAGTGGAAATCCAAAAGTTCTGAATGTTTGCTTACCATGTTGCCCATGTTGTAGCAAAGGTACTAGATCCAGCAGAGTCACCAATGTCACGTAGAGTCCTTGATAGTCCAATGATGGGTAGTCTGATAACTGTGCATCACGACTTTGCTGGCCGCGTTCAGTGGGAGCATCTCGCAGGACGCTGTAAAGGAGGGAGCGAGTAACAGTAGGGTTGATGGAACTGACCTGTGGTCTTAGAGATGGGGTGAGTGGGAATGGCACAGGAAAAAGACACATGGTCATGGGCACTGTCAAATTGGAGGCATCTTGATTCTCCTTCTTCCCTGTGCGGGACAAAATGCTGTTGGGGGGACAAAGAAAAAAAAGAGACAACAAAGACACAAAGAACAGCACATTACATTGAAATGACACTATAAAACAAATAATAAAACTCCAGATACATCCCACATGAGATGCAATTGCTACCAATACTAGTGCATCTTGCAAAATCTAGCAACCATTCACTTCCATGCTTGGGGGGGAAAAGATACAATTCAGAATTGCTAAACTTAGTTAAGGAAATTTCCATTGCATCTCATGTGTTATCTGGTTCATAAGGAGCAAAAATATAAAAATGCATGTTTCGGTGGCACACCCATGTTTCACAGCCCTTCTAGACTGGATGTAGTTTGCTACAGAAAGAAGAAACAACGAAAATATAGCAGCGGCATTAAATCATTCGAAACGTTGATCTTTTAAAATGTAGATGTATGTATCTGGGAAAGATTTTGAACACCATCATTGGAAAACCAAGGAAGAAATGCTTGCAAAAAATAGGTGTGGCACTTGCAGAAACATGTTTTAGCAAAGAATAAACATGTGCGTTTGTTAAGAGAACCTTAAAAATCACATGTTTATTGCATCAAAATAATGTCTGTATGTATTACATGATACTGTTCTATGACATTCCGTCAGTATCATCTGAGATAATGAGATTTCAACAGGCACATGGATTTAGAAATAATATAATATTTCTAAAATGTTAGCTAAACTACATTTGGAAAAGCTTTAAAATAATATATAGTTGATGGGCTGCAGCATATGTTTGTGAGCTAATGAGAATGGTAGTTTGTGTGTGCTTTTAATTTGGGAGTGGGGAAGGAAACATCTTTTTTTATGCATACAAAATGCTCTCTTCTTACGTGGTTAATTTGGAAATCCAAGGGCTGCACAAGCATTATCATTCTATAACTGCATACCAAACAGGGTCTTATCATACATTACTAATACTACTTACGTTATTTACTGAACAAACTTACTACAGACTAAAGGAAAAATGATTTTGAATAATTAAAAGGCTCTGTGGGCATCAAAAGGGAGGCAAAAAAAATCAATGAAATTGTTACGCCTTTTGACTATCGCTGCAAGTCAATTATTCCAGTTTCTGAAATGTGTGTTCTAAAAATTGCTAATTAAGAAAACTAAAGGGAACAATCCAGTGAAAGTACAGCATTTTATTGACCCATTGGTTTCGCTGAGAGCAGTGCAGCAAAAGCTTGGATAGTTTTATTGAGAAGTAAGTCTCACAACATTCAGTGCTCTTTACCCCCAGGTATGTGTGCACAGGACTTCCCTTTAAGACATGCACAACTCTCATTGAAATTAAACAGCTCAAAAACACTTAATTTTGAACCCTCGAAGCCTTGTAAAACTAATTTATCACATAACAAAAAGTTAACGTATAAAATATGTTAAGTTTACAACATACAGTATTGTGTTTTCAATGCATCTGTTCATACACTTTTAATATGTCCTAGGCTTAAAAGAGGAACTGTTGGAAAGGCCTGCTTCAGCTTTCCTCCACCTTGCACCTCCCACGTGTGCTGGATCTCAACTCCCATACCCCTATCCTGGCTGTGAATGATAGGATTTGTAATCCAATACAACTCGAGCATGCTGGGTTGCAGAAGGCTTATCAACACTAGTCAAATGACTGTTCAGATACATTTCTATTTTGAAGGCAGATGTTAGCATTCCTTTGGCTGACATCTTGTTGTTTAACACAGTAAGTCATATTGGAGTAGGCCAATTCAATCTGGGCAGTCAACTGTTCCATAAATCACATTGATTCATATGAGCCTACTCTACTTGCAACTTACGCTAAAACAAATCACAACTGGAGTGTTGTTGTTATTTAGTCATTAAATCATCTCCATGGACCAGAGCATGCCAGGCCCTCCTGTCTTCCACTGTCTCCCAGAGTTGGGTCAAAGTCATGTTGGTTGCTTTGATGACACTGTCCAACCATCTTGTCCTCTGTCGTCCCCTCTTTCTCTTGCCTTCACACTTTCCCAACATCAGGGTCTTTTCCAGGGAGTCTCCTCTTCTCATGAGATGGCCAAAGTA